CCTCCCCTCTCCCTCCCCAGGCCCAACCGCTTAGCCGGAGGTATCATCTGGAAGCTGCACCACGATGCAAATGTTCTCTGCTGAAGAATTACTTTCATTTCTGACTCATTTTAGGAAATGAGGCAGTCTGTCAGAGGTGTTTCTTTATTTCCAGACCCCCAGAGAGTTCATTTTTTCCTGGGATTTCTAACCACATGTGGGCAGTGCTTCATTTACCCAGATGTGAGGAATAAGGGGAATGAACAGTCCTCTTCTAAAGTAGCCGTCGCTTCCCTGCGGAATCCGATGTGGAGGCCCAGAGGTAGCTTGTGCTCTTATTAATGTAAATATTTCTGAGGCTTTGGTTTCATGATGCTTGTGGACGTGCTGTGTGTATGGGCTTTGGTGCAGGAAAAGTATAATTTAGCAGCAGATTTAAAAGGTAGTCTGGAGTGTTTCTAATTACTGTTTGTTTAGTTCGCCATTGCCTAATAAGTGGATTTAAGTAACCTTGGGGGTAGAGAATGTAATGTTCATGTTACAGTCAACCATGCAAATCAAATTCTAACGAAGTACTGCAAAGACTGCACCATGGAGTCAGTTTACAGAGGTGCTCCACTGAATTTTAAGTTTAGAAATGAGAGCATTTTGGAATGAGTATTTTCTACTTGTCGTTCACCACCATGAATTATGCACATGCCCAAAATCAACCCTACTGTGTGGCACAGCCCCATTTAAACTGCATCAGTGGCCTTCGGCATTCAGTTCATAAAAATATGTATTAAGGACTAAATTATTTCTTTTACCATATTGTGCACTAGGGATTGAGGACCATGGACCTAAGATGTCTGGGACTTAAGAGGTCCTAGTGTTCAGCGATTGTCAGCTGTGGTTGCAGACTGGTGTTACCTGGAAAGCTTCTCAGAGAAACACCCATGCCCTACCAATGGAAAACACATCTCTGGGGGAGGGAGCCAGTATTTTTTAGAAAGCTCCTAGGTGATTCTTATACCCAGCAAGGGATAGGGTCAACTGCTGTATTCTAAGCATCCCATATCACAGGTAAGGAAGAATGAGAGCAAGAAAGGTCAGACAGCTTGCTCAGGTTGCTGCGGAGGCAGGTCTGGGACTCGGGTTGGATGCCCCCACTGGGCTCTCTGCTGCCCAACCTGCCTCCTTGTATTTATTAATCCCTCCTCATCCTTCAGGTGACGTTCCCGCCTCCAAGAGGCCTTTTCTGAGAACTCACACCCTCCCCTCCGGTCTGGGTAAGATGCCCTGTCTGTTTGAACAGCACCCTTTCTTATCTGTTCCCTTGATGGTCAGCTGCAGGAGGACAGAGCCTGTATCTCTGGTCCTTTCTGTAATGTGCTGGCATGTCATTGAGTCCCAGATACTGTTTGTTGTATTGACGTTCCCTAACTTTTTATTCATTTATTAGTCCATGTGGATTGCTTAAAAAAAAAAAAATTTAAAAAATTCATTCGCGTATGTTAGCTTCTGAAAGCAAAAATTATTTCTTACCTGTCATCAGCCCACTGTACTTGGGGTCAAGGTCTCATACACAAGGACTTCTACCCCTGCCTTCCAGGAGAGGGCTTTTTGGCAAAAAAAACCCCACCAAAAACAAAAAACCATCAAGGGGTTTGATGACAAAATAAGGAAAAGATTTCAATGACTTTATGTGTTGCTCAAGGTACTTACAACAACCAGGATCTTTTGAATAACATACAGTGTGTGTGTCATAAATGAAAGGGAGCATGTGACATTAAACCTTAGGATAAAAATTTGAAGAAAAATAATGCTATTTCATGAAAATATGTGTTAAGGATTAAATTATTTCCTTTACCATATTGTGTGTATAACTCGGAGTAGCTACATTTCATTCGCTTAGTTGAATTAAATCCCTTGGCTTCTCTGGATTAATATGTTACAGTCTTTTCAGTACATTAAAAAAACTATTAATCTGTCATCTCAGTTTACTTAAGGTTATCCGTGGCCAGGGTCTTACTTTCATTTGAAAAATGTTTTTTGGATGTGCATTGTTTATGTTTACGCGTGGAGCTGTAACAGAGTTTTGTTTCCGGAAGTAGGTGGCGGCCAGTATCTCTTCCCTTTACAGGGGTCACAGGAATTAGCTGTGTCCTTGTTTGGAGAATTCAGAGTTAAAGGTTTTTGGAGTCAGGACTACAAACCGGGCAGTGTTGTAGGGTAGAGGTTAAGATGTTGCAGGCAGGAGAGAATGATGCCCAGAGTGTGTGAGAGCATTATGAAGTCTTACTAAGACTTTGCGGGTTCATGCTTTATAATTGGGAGTCTTCGTATCCCAGGTAAGTGGCAAGGTGGCAGCATACAAGTAAAGCCACCATTTATCAGGGGAAATTTTCCTAAAACAAATAGTCTTAAAAATTTCAGGAGAGCCCTATTGGTTTGGCTCAGTCATTAGAGTGTCAACCCTTGAACTGAGGCTCCCAGGTTCGATTTTGACCAAGGGCATGTACCTCGGTTGCAGACTCGATCCCCAGCCCTGGTCGGGGCACGTGCAGGAGGCAACCAGTGGATGTGTCTCTCTCACATTCAATAATTCCCTCTCTCTCTCCCCCCTCACCTCCACTCTCTCTGAAAAGCAATGGAAAAAATATCCTTGGGTGAGGATTTTTTAAGAAAATTTTTTCAGGAGAAAGCTGTCATTGAGCTGGAGGGATATATACAACATTTTTATATTAAAATAACTTTGAACAAAAGACCTTAAATTGTAAAATTCCTAGAAGAAAACTGGTGGTTAAGCTCCTTAATAGAGAGGTCTTGGTTGATGATTTTTTGAAGCTGACACCAAAAGCAAAAGCAACAAAATATCAAAAATAAATAAGTGGGATTGCATCATACTACAAAGCTTCTGTGCAGCAAAGAAAACCAACAAAATGGAAAGACAACCTACTGAATGGGAGAAAATATTCACAAGTCATATATCTAATAAGGGACTAATCTCCAAAATATGTAAAGAACTCGTAAAATTCAATAGCAAAAAAACCAAAAAGACAATTTAATTAAAAATCTGAATAGACACTTTTCCAAAGAAGACATGCAGGTGCCCAACAAGTACATGAAAAAATGCTCAACATCACTAATCATCAGGGAAATGCAAATCAAAACCACATGAGCTGTCACCTTACACCTGATAGAATGGCTTTTATCAAAAAGACAAGACACAACAAGAGTTGGCACAGACGTGGAGAAAAGTGAGCCCTTGTGCACTGTTGGTTGGATTGTAAATTAATGCAGCAACTATGGAAAACTGTGGAGAGTCCTCAGAAAATTAAAAATAGAACTTCCATATGATCCAGCAATTCCACTTTTGGGTATTTATTGAAGAAAGTGAAAACACTAACTAGAAAAGATATATGCACCCCCATGTTCATTGCAGCAGCATTTACAATAGCAAAGATATGAAAAAAACCTAAGTGTCCATTGATGGATGAATGGATAAAGAAAATGTGTGTGTGTATAAAATGGAATATTACTTGGCCGTAAAAAAGAATGAAATCTTGCTCTTTTTGACAACATGGATGGGCCTCAAGGACATTATGCTAAGTGAAATAAGTCAGAGGAAGACAGATATTGTAAGATGCCCCTTATATGTGGAATCTAAAGAACAACAGACCAAGCTTATAGATACAGAGAACAAATTGGTGGTTGCCAGAGGCAGGGCTTGGTGTTGGGAGGAAGGAGTGAAGGGGGTATAAATTTCTTTTAAAAATCTGTGCAGGTATATGACATAACAAAAACACACACACACAACTCTGATTATATTGTGGAATAAAGTGCAAAGTTTTTGTGACTTTTTAAAAAAAAGATAAAATAGGAAATTTTAAAGAAGCACCTCCTTCCAGTTTCTCCTTTGCTGCTATTTGGATGAAAAACTAACCAATAGAAGTTTTTGCTAAGTAATCTACTTCTGTTATACTGATTTCAGAGGCCCAGCAGTACACTGAAGGGGAGAAGGAGGGATCAGGGTTATTTAACTACATAAGGCACAGTGGTCAGTGGTTTCACCCATGCTGTGCCGTGGAATCTTTATGACTACCCTGCACGTTAGGCCATGTTCATACCAATTTTAACATGTGAGAAGGTACATATGCTCCTGTCCACTAGGGAGCAGAGCCAAAATTTGAATGCAGGTCAGTCTGATTCCAGAGTCCTTGTATTTTTTCACCAAACATGGCCTCTTATGTTATGAGAGTAGCAAGGCCTCTAGAAGAGATTGTTGTTGACTCTAAGTATTTACCATGGTGATAGAGGAGGGCTGACTCTTGCTTCCCTTAGAGTTGTTATTTAACAACAGTAAGTTAACCTTTATAAACTTCTACGAACAGTTAAAAGCACTTCCTCATAATATCCTATAAAGTTCTGACTTTAAAAATGACATGTTATTATTTCAGTGGTCCTCAGAGTCCCAGTGTAGTCATTGTCATGCTCTAACAGAGAGGAAAGGAATGGTCAGCAATGGTCATTTTTGTTCGGAAGACTGGCGCATAAGGTAGGATTCTGTGCTCTCTCAGATGTCATGCGTTTGACTTGGGGAGGCAGCACAGCAAAATGCTTGATAATTTGTGCTCTGCCATGCAATTCCTGGGTTGGAGAACCCTGACTGCTACCCACTACTAGCTGTGTGATCTCGGGCAAGTGACTCGACCTCTTCACGCCTTAGTTCCTTTTTAGTAAGATGGGAACAATGATACCTTGATTGTCATTTTAAGAGTCGAATAACCTAAAGCATACAGAGAGCTTAGAATGTTGGGTGATGCAGAGTTAGCGCTCAGTAAATGTTTACCTCTTCTTAGTGGACAGAAGCTAGATGCTGCAGGCCCAGTGATCCCACTCCCAGGTATTGACCCAAGAGAAGTGAGAACCTGTGTTCACCTAAGACCTTTTAGCAAAGGTTCATAGAAGTTTTCTTCACAGTATCTAAGACCTGGAAGCAACTCACATGTTCATCAACTGGCCAGTGGATAAACTGTGGTATGTTCATGTTATTGAATACTATTCAGGAGCAAATAGGAGCAAATTCCTGATCCAGGCAACACCAGGGATAAACCTCAAAGGCATTATGCTGAGTAAGAGAAGCCGGATACAAATGGTGTATACTAGTTGATTCCATTTATATGACATCCTAAAAAGGCAAAACTGTAGACACAGAAATCCGATCGTTGCTTGCCAAGGACTGGAAGTGGGTGGAAGAGATTGACTGCATGGGGGCAAGAGGGAACTTCGGGGGGTGATGGAAATACTCTGTACCTTCATGGTGGTGGAGGTCAGATGACTGTATACATTTGTCAAAACACATCAAAATGGGTAAATTTTCACTGTATAACCCCACTAAATCTGATTTTTAAAAAGTCAGGTGCTACAACATGAACAAAGAACGGTAGAAGAAAAAGGGGTTAGAAACTGCAGCTGTTCTTTGGTTTCAATGATTGCATAAGACAGACGAAATGGTTTCTTTAATTTCCCCCTAACTGCCTATGTGTTAGAAAACAGTAACCTGTGAAAAAGTTCTGCCCTGCCTAACATATCTGAGTCTCTGCTGTGAGCATTGGTCTGCTTCCCATTTCTCAAACTACCCACTGGAGCTGTTTCTGTGTCGCAGGCGCAGGGCTCTTCCTGAGGGAATCCTGAAGGAGGGCTCGCCGTGCAGTAAAGCATTCATGGAAACAGAGCGTTGGTGTTCTAGGTGAACTGAGGGTTACTTTTCCAGGTTACTGAGTAGTCTGAGCACACGTGTGAGTAAGGAATGTTATCTCAGAGCATTGTTCATTCATCATGAGTCACAGCCGCCCTTGGCACTTCCTCATGGAACTCCTGTCTCTCAGCAGCACCGGGAACAGTTGACCACTCCCTCCTTCCTGAAACCCTTCCTTCACTTGGCATCTGTGATGCTACTCCACCTTGATTCTGCTTACGACTCACTTAGTTTTCCTCAGTCTCCGCTGCTGGATCCTGCTCTTCCTATTCCTGGCCTCCAGACTTGGGAGGGCCTTGAGTTTTGTTCTTGGACCACTTCCCAATCCCAGCCCATTTGTGAGTGATTGCATTCATTCCCAGGGCCTTAAATACCATCTATATGTTGATTCCACTTGGTTGTCCAACAGACATCTCAAATGTAACATGTCCAGAAACAACTTCTTGATCTGCTTTCTAAACCTACACTTCCTTCATGGTTCCTCATCTCAGCAGTGAGTCTGCCCAGTTGCTCAGTCCAAACCCCTGA